GCTAGAGACGTTGACCGCTATGTTTGTAATTTGTTTGTAAGCTAGAGACGTTGACCTCTATGTTTGTAATTTGTTTGTAAGCTAGAGACGTTGACCGCTATGTTTGTGCTTGTTTTGTAGGCGACTTGTGGAGAAGTTAGACAACATGAAGAAAAACGCCATTGGTAATGGAACCACCCAGTGTATTCTGTGTGGGGATGAGTTCGGTCTCCTAGGGGCATCTCCAACATTCTGTGATGACTGTAAAAATGTGAGTTATATTGTGTAAAAATGTGAGTTATATTGTGTATCTCCATTGAAATTAAAACCTTCAATAATATAATTAGTTAAATGATACAAATATACATCTAAAAAAATTGTGGTATTACTGAAGTTATCTCATAAACTAGTCACCTTTGTTCCAATTAGATAATCCAACCTCCTTTGTTCCCAGTAGATAATCCAACCTCCTTTGTTCCCATTAGATAATCCAACCTCCTTTGTTCCCAGTATGTAATCAAACTACGTTGTTCCCAGTAGATAATCAAACCACCTTTGTTCCAAGTAGTTATCCAACCTCCTTTGTTCCCAGTAGATAATCCAACCTCCTTTGTTCCTAGTAGATAATCCAACCTCCTTTGTTCCCGGTAGATAATCAAACTACTTTGTTTCCAGTAGATAATCCAATCTCCTTTGTTTCCAGTAAATAATCCAACCTCCTTTGTCCCCAGTAAATAATCAACCTCCTTTGTTCCTTGTAAATAATCCAACCTCCTTTGTCCCCAGTAGATAATCCAGCTACCCTTATCCTCTGGTGACTTGATGGGACAACAGGATAAGTGGTAGCTGAATAGTGAGACAACAGGATTAGTGGTAGCTGAATAGTGAGACAACAGGATTAGTGGTAGCTGAATAGGGAGACAACAGGATTAGTGGTAGCTGTATAGTGAGACAACAGGATTAGTGGTAGCTGTATAGTGAGACAACAGGATTAGTGGTAGCTGGATAGTGAGACAACATGATTAGTGGTAGCTGTATAGTGAGACAACAGGATTAGTGGTAGCTGGATAGTGAGACAACAGGATTAGTGGTAGCTGTATAGGGAGACAACAGGATTAGTGGTAGCTGTATAGGGAGACAACAGGTTTGGTAGCTGTATAGGGAAACAACAGGATTAGTGGTAGCTGAATAGTGAGACAACAGGATTAGTGGTAGCTGGATAGTGAGACAACATGATTAGTGGTAGCTGAATAGTGGAACAACAGGATTAGTGGTAGCTGGATAGGGAGACAACAGGATTAGTGGTAGCTGGATAGTGAGACAACAGGATTAGTGGTAGCTGGATATTGAGACAACATGATGAGTGGTAGCTGGATAGGGAGACAACAGGATTAGTGGTAGCTGAATAGTGAGACAACAGGATTAGTTGTAGCTGGATAGTAAGACAACATGATTAGTGGTAGCTGGATAGTGAGACAACAGGATTAGTGGTAGCTGGATAGGGAGACAACATGATTAGTTGTAGCTGTATAGTTGAACAACAGGATTAGTGGTAGCTGGATAGTGGAACAACAGGATTAGTGGTAGCTGGATAGGGAGACAACAGGAGTAGTGGTAGCTGGATAGTGAGACAACAGGATTAGTTGTAGCTGGATAGTAAGACAACAGGATTAGTGGTAGCTGGATAGTGAGACAACATGATTAGTTGTAGCTGTATAGTTGAACAACAGGATTAGTGGTAGCTGGATAGTGGAACAACAGGATTAGTGGTAGCTGGATAGTGAGACAACATGATTAGTGGTAGCTGAATAGTGAGACAACAGGATTAGTGGTAGCTGGATAGTGAGACAACAGGATTTGTGGTAGCTGAATAGGGAGACAACAGGATTAGTGGTAGCTGTATAGTGTAACAACAGGATTAGTGGTAGCTGGATAGTGGAACAACAGGATTAGTGGTAGCTGGATAGTGAGACAACATGATAAGTGGTTGCTGAATAGTGGAACAACAGGATTTGTGGTAGCTGGATAGGGAGACAATAGGATTAGTGGTAGCTGGATAGGGAGACAACAGGATTAGTGGTAGCTGGATAGTGAGACAACAGGATTAGTGGTAGCTTGATAGTGAGACAACAGGATTTGTGGTAGCTGAATAGTGGAACAAGAGGATTAGTGGTAGCTGTATAGGGAGACAACAGGATTAGGGGTAGCTGGATAGTGAGACAACATGATAAGTGGTTGCTGAATAGTGGAACCACAGGATTTGTGGTAGCTGGATAGGGAGACAATAGGCTTAGTGGTAGCTGGATAGTGAGACAACAGGATTACTGGTAGCTGGATAGGGAGACAGCAGGATTAGTGGTAGCTGGATAGGGAGACAACAGGATAAGTGGTAGCTGTATAGGGAGACAACAGGATTAGTGGCAGCTGGATAGTGAGACAACATGATTAGTGGTAGCTGGATAGTGAGACAACAGGATTTGTGGTAGCTGAATAGTGGAACAACAGGATTAGTGGTAGCTGTATAGGGAGACAACAGGATTAGTGGTAGCTGGATAGTGAGACAACAGGATTAGAGGGATGAATGACGCTCAACTATATCAATGCTATTATGTTATTTTGTAGATTTTGCCATTTGAAATTATGATTGACCATAATGTTGGAGAGCAAAGTTTTATAGATGTTATAATATGTTACAGGCGGTGTGTACTAAGTGTGGGATCGACACGTATAACTGTAACAAACAACCACTGTGGCTGTGTAAGATCTGTAGTGAAAACAGGGAGGTAAGTCACCGTTTACTGATTTCTTCAAATTCTAATCTCAATACTGTGCTTGTGTGGGCACCTGTGGAAGTATGCACTCTGGTATAAATTAAAAATTACAAACAAAAATGAAGGGAACAAAAACAAGAACAGAAATAATCAGATGAGTACCACATTTCTACCTGATTTACGAAATGTTTGGTAGGCAAGTCCACTTTTGACATTGATGTAGCATACTAGTTAAAAACCACGTACTTAACTGGTAATAGATACAGTGTTTGACATGTGTACCTTAATGAGTTAACACATCATTGTCTGTAGAACAAAACATTGAAAGCAGGTCAGGCTTGAGGATAAGTCTGATGGTACAAATTATAGTAAAGTCCTAAAAAGAAAAATCCTCACCTGGGCCGAAGGGCCAAGTGAGCTAATGGCATGGTGCAGCGTCCGGCATCCGTCCGGCGTCACTTTTTACTTAAAACAACTTCTTCTCAGTAACCAAAAGGCCTAGGGTGATGATATTTGGTCAGAAGCATACTTGGATGAAGGGCTACCATTTTTGTTCAAATAAATGACCTTCATCAATTTTCAAGGACACAGGGGTCAAATACGTCAAAATCTTTAATCAACTTCTTCTGAATAACCAAGAGGCCTAGGATGATGATATTTGGCCAGTAACATGCTGGGATGAAGAGCTACCAAGTTTGTTCAAATAAATGACCTTGATTTATATTCAAGGTCACAGGGGTCATATATGTTGAAAACTTTTAACAACTTCTTAATAACCAAGAGACCCAGGCTGATAATATTTGGCTAGTAGCATGCTGGGATGAAGAGCTACCAAGTTTGTTCAAATGAATGACCTTTGCCTTTTGTCAAGATCACAGGGGTCAAATATGTTTAAAATATTAAACAACTTCCTCTAAATAACCAAGAGGCCCAGGCTGAAGATATTTGGCCAGTAGCATGCTGGGATAAAGGGCTACGGAGTTTGTTCAAATGAATGACCTTCACTCATATTCAAGGTCACATTTTTTTTTGTCTTAAAAACAGTTAATAACAACTTCTGAATAACTTAAGGTTCCCGGGTGATCCGTTGTTCATGTGAATGACCTTGACATACTTTCAAGCTCACATCTGGTCCAAAGTGCATAAATCTTTAAAATTCACCTCAATTAACAAAAGGTATAGGGCCATTAGGGTGATGTTTGACAAGTTGCATTCTGTGAGGAAGGCTATATATAACGTCAATGTTTGGCTTTTAAGGTCACAGGGGTCAAATGTGTTTTAATCTTTTAACAGGTTCTTTTGAATGACCTAAGTCAAGACACTGATATTTTGCCTGTAGCTTTATTTTAGTCCACTCTTAAGGTTACAATTGTGAGATTAACATCAGGTGAGCGATACAGGCCCATTGGGCCTCTTGTTTGGTAACTTGGTGTAACAGGTATGGAAGCGATCCAGAGTTAACATGTGTTTTTTGGTAACTTGGTGTAACAGGTATGGAAGGGATCCAGAGTTAACATATGTGTTTTGGTAACTTGGTGTAACAGGTATGGAAGCTATCCAGAGTTAACATGTGTTTTTTGGTAACTTGGTGTAACAGGTATGGAAGCGATCCGGAGCATGGTTCTTTAAAGGCCTCCCGAAGTATACAATACCAGAGAAAAAGGCTATGGAGGCTACCAAGGTTGTCACTACCAAAGGGCGTTCAGAATCCAGAGGTGTACAGAGGGGACGACCGGGTTCTACACGTAACTATAACACATGGAGTAGAGGCAGAGGCAATCATGGTAGGTACTTACACCTTAAGGCAGTGAATGTGGTAATGTTGGTTCATACACACAGCCAGTAATGTTGGTTCATACACACAGCCAGTAATGCTGGTTCATACACACAGCCAGTAATGCTGGTCCATACACACAGCCAGCAATGCTGGTTCATACATACAGCCAGTAATACTGCTTCACACACACAGTCAGTAATGTTGGTTCATACTCACAGCCATTAATGCTGGTTCATACATACAGCCAGTAAATGCTGTTTCAAGCACACAGCAAGGAATGCTGGTTCACACATACAGCCAGTAATGCTAGCTCATACACACAGCCATTAATGCTGGTTCATCCACACAGCCAGTAATACTGGTTCTTACACACAGCCGGTAATGCTGGTTCTTACACACATCCAGTAATGCTGCTTCACACACACAGTCAGTAATACTGGCTCATATACACAGCCAGTAAAGGTGGTTCAAACATACAACCAGTAATGCTGGTTCATACAGACAGCCAGTAATGTTGGTTCATACACACACCCAATAATGCTGGTTCATACGCACAGCCAGTAATGCGGGTTCATACACACAGTCAGTAATACTGGCTCATATACACAGCCAGTAAAGGTGGTTCAAACATACAGCCAGAAAATGCTGTTTCAAGCACACCTACCAAGTTTGTTCAAATAAATGACCTTCACCCATAATAGTGAATGTGGTAATGTTGGTTCATACTCCCAGCCAGTAATGATGGTTCATACACACAGTCAGTAATGTTGGTTCAAACATACAACCAGTAATGCTGGTTAAAACATACAGCCAGTAAGCCTGGTTCACACATGCAGCCAGTAATGCTGATTCAAACATACAGCCAGAAAATGCTGTTTCAAGCACACATTCTGTGAGGAAGGCTATATATAACGTCAATGTTTGGCTTTTAAGGTCACAGGGGTCAATTGTCTTAAAAAAACTTTAAACAACCTCTTCTAATGTTGGTTCATACTCACAGCCATTAATGCTGGTTCATCCACACAGCCAGTAATGCTGGTTCTTACACACAGCCAGTAATGCTGCTTCACACACACAGCCAGTAATGTTGGTTCAAACATACAGCCAGTAATGCTGGTTCATACACACAGCCAGTAATGCTGGTTCAAACATACAGCCAGTAAATGCTGTTTCAAGCACACAGCAAGTAATGCTGGTTCAAGCATACAGCCAGTAAATGCTGTTTCAAGCACACAGTGATACAGGTTCATCCACGCAGATAGTTTAAATACTGGTTCATACACACAGACAGTATTGTTGATTCATATACATAAGGAGTCATTTGACCAAAAGTCAAAGTCACTTGATCAAAGATCAAGGTCAAATTTAGTATCTTTTCACTTATGAACATTTTGTTATGACATTATGACGCAAAGTTGGTCGGAATTTAACAAGGAGTCAACTGACTTAAGGTCAAGGTCACTGGGTCAATGTCAAGGTCAAATAATGTATCTTTTTACTGATGAACATTTTTTAGCTAGTCAGGCACGAAGTGCCAAGTGAGCTTATGCCGTGGTGCGGCTTCCGTCGTTCGTCTGGCGTCCGGCGTCCGGCGTCAATATTTTACTTTAAACGACTTCTTCTTAATAACCGAAAGGCCTAGGGTGTCGATATTTGACCAGAAGTAAACTGGGATGAAGGGCTACAAAGTTTGTAAAATTAAAAATTAATGACCTTCACCCATTTTCAAGGTCACAGGGGTCAAATATGTTAAAAACTTTAAACATCTTCTTCTCGATAACCAAACTCCCCAAGGAGAAGATTTTTAGCCAGTAGCTTGCTTGGGTGAAGGGCTACCAAGTTTGTTCAAATAAATGACCTTCAATTATTAGCTCACCTGGCACGAAGTGCCAAGTGAGCTTATGCCGTGGCGCGGCGTCCGTCGTCCGTCCGTCCATCCGGCGTCCGGCGTCAATATTTTACTTTAAAAGACTTCTTCTTAATAACCGAAAGGCCTAGGGTGTCAATATTTGGCCAGAAGCAAACTTGGATGAAGGGCTACAAAGTTTGTTCAAATAAATGACCTTCACCTATTTTCAAGGTCACAGGGGTCAAATATGTCAAAAACTTTAAACATCTTCTTCTCAATAACCAAAATGCCCAGGGAGATGATATTTGGCCAGTAGCATGCTTGGGTGAAGGGCTACCAAGTTTGTTCAAATGAATGACCTTCAATTATATTCAAGGTCACAGGGGTCAATTGTATTAAAAAACCTTTAAACAACTTCTTCTGAATAACCAAAATGCTCAGGGTGATGATATTTAGCCAGTAGCATGCTGAGATGAAGTGCTACAAAGTTTGTTCAAATGAATGACCTTCACCCATATTCAAGGTCACAGGGGTCAAATATGTTAAAAACTTTAAACAACTTCTTCTCAATAACCAAAATGCCCTGGGTGATGATATTTGGCCAGTAGCAAGCTGAGATGAAGGGCTACAAAGTTTGTTCAAATAAATGACCTTCACCCATATTCAAGGTCACAGGGGTCAAATATGTTTAAAACTTTAAACAACTTCTTCTGAATAACCAAAATGCCCAGGGTGATGATATTTGGCCAGTAGCTAGCTGAGATGAAGGGCTACAAAGTTTGTTCAAATGAATGACCTTCACCCATATTCAAGGTCACAGGGGTCAAATATGTTTAAAACTTTAAACAACTTCTTCTGAATAACCAAAATGCCCAGGGTGATGATATTTGGCCAGTAGCTAGCTGAGATGAAGGGCTACAAAGTTTGTTCAAATGAATGACCTTCACCCATATTCAAGGTCACAGGGGTCAAATATGTTAAAAACTTTAAACAACTTCTTCTGAATAACCAAAATGCCCAGGGTGATGATATTTGGCCAGTAGCAAGCTGAGATGAAGGGCTACAAAGTTTGTTCAAATGAATGACCTTCACCCATATTCAAGGTCACAGGGGTCAAATATGTTAAAAACTTTAAACAACTTCTTCTGAATAACCAAAATGCCCAGGGTGATGATATTTGGCCAGTAGCTAGCTGAGATGAAGGGCTACAAAGTTTGTTCAAATGAATGACCTTCACCCATATTCAAGGTCACAGGGGTCAAATATGTTAAAAACATTAAACAACTTCTTCTGAATAACCAAAATGGAAAGGGTGATGATATTTGACCAGTAGCATGCTAGGGTAAAGGGCTATCAAGTTTGTTCAAATGAATGACCTTCACCCATATTCAAGGTCACAGGGGTCAAATATGTTAAAAACTTTAAACAACTTCTTCTGAATAACCGAAATGCCCAGGGTGATGATATTTGGCCAGTAGCTAGCTGAGATGAAGGGCTACAAAGTTTGTTCAAATGCATGACCTTCACTTATGTTCATGGCCACAGGGGTCAAATATGTGAAAAACATTAAACAACTTCTTCTGAATAACCAAAATGGAAAGGGTGATGATATTTGACCAGTAGCATGCTAGGGTGAAGGCCTATCAAGTTTGTTCAAATGAATGACCTTCACCCATATTCAAGGTCACAGGGGTCAAATAAGTGAAAAACATTAAACAACTTCTTCTGAATAACCAAAATGGAAAGGGTGATGATATTTGACCAGTAGCATGCTAGGGTGAAGGCCTATCAAGTTTGTTCAAATGAATGACCTTCCAAAATGCCCAGGGTGATGATATTTCGCCAGTAGCATGCTGAGATAAAGGGCTACAAAGTTTGTTCAAATGCATGACCTTCAACAATATTCAAGGTCCCAGGGTCAAATATGTTAAAAACTTTAAACAACTTCTCAATAAACAAAATGCCCAGGGTGATGATATTTATTCAGTAGCATACTAGGATCAAGGGCTACCAAGTTTGTTTAAATGTATGACCTTGAATCATATTCAAGGTCACAAGGAGCAAATATGTTCAAAATATTTAAACAACTTGTTCTGAATAACCAAAAGGCTCAGGATGTTGATATTTAGTCAGTAGCATGCTGGGATCAAGGACTACTATGTTTGTTAAAGTGAATGACTTTGACTTATATTCAAGGTCACAGGGGTCAAATTTGTTTAAAATCTTTAAACGACCTCTTCTGAATAACCATGGGTCCCAGGATGTTGATACTTTGCAAGTTGCATCCTGAGATGAAAGGCTATAAAATTTGTTCAACATAATGACTTTGTTTGACTTTCAATCACAGGGGTGAAATGTTTTAAAAAAAAATAACAGGTTCTTTTGAATGAATTTTAATCATAAATACTGATATTTTGCCTGTAGCTTTAATTTAGATCACTTTTAAGGTTACAAATGTGAGATTTATACCAGGTGAGCGATGCAGGCCCATTGGGCCTCTTGTATTATATTAAATTATAATTTTATAAGGATGAAGTATTCTATATTGAGGTTATAATTTGTTTATATTTTCATACCTTACTACAGTTATAGATTTCATGAATATCCCACAATAGTGATAGATTCTATTTCTCTGAGTAGTCATGTTTTTCCCCCTCAGCTTATGGTGAAAGCAGTGAGCAAGAGACTGAGAGCAGCTCTGAAGATGAGATCAGTATCGGCAAGCGCAAGACCGGTCGCAACAGGGGAGACTCGGGTGAGTGGAAATTAGTTCTTGGTTACAAATTATATAAAGATCGTGAATGTCTAGAGTGATAATTAATGGCTTGTACTTGGGTGGGATGAAACTCTATATCAACCTCATTGGAATAAATGACAAAGACAGTCTCTAGGTCACACGGGTCAGGTGTATTAGAATGACTTCTCCTTATAAATAAGATCTACAAGGTGTAGAATAATGACAAATAATACTTGTCATGTAGCTTTTTGAAATGACAGCTATTAAATTTGTTGAAATAAATAACCTTGACACATTTTCAAGGTTACAGAGGTCAAATATGTGAGAAAGTTTAAAACAACTTTGAGGCTTACCAATAGTAATACAGTAGATTTTCTCTTAATATCACTTCTCATTTGTCAGAGGAAAACATGTTATGAACCGGAACGTGATATAAACAGAAAACGGAAATGACCATATAAATGTAGTATGGTTTTACAAAGAAGATTGTTTAATCACGATGTTTGTATCTTACAAGGCTTGTTTAGGTCACCTGAGCTTCATGGGAATGTTACTGACAACTCCCTGACCAAGTGTTGTTATTTTTCGGGTCGATCAGAAATCCAATATGGCCGCCAAGGTCGCCATTTTGAAAACCTATTTCAAACTTAAAGTCAAGTTCTACTGGGCCGATTTAACAGAAACTTGGTAGGAATGATAAATTCAAGTTCTACTGGGCTGATTTAACAGAAACTTGGTAGGAATGATTAACTTGTGGTCCTGACAAAGTGTTGTTAATTTTCGGTTCGATCAGAAATCCAATATGGCCGCCAAGGCCGCCATTTCGAAAAACTATTTCAAACTTAAAGTCAACTTCTTCTTGGCCGATTTAACTGAAGCTTGGTAGGAATGATCAACTCATGGTCCTGACAAAGTGTTGTTATTTTTTGGGTCGATCAGAAATCCAATATGGCTGCCACGGCCGTCATTTTGAAAAACTATTTCAAACTTAAAGTCCAGTTCTACTGGGTCCATTTAACTGAAACTTGGTAGGAACTAACTCATGGTCCTAGCAAAAGATTTTTTCAGGTCCAACAAAAATCTAAAACAGCCGCCATGGCTGCCATTTTGGGAAAAAAATATTTAAAGCTTGAAATCATTTAGTTCTTACTGCTAGCCTATATTGATCTAATTGGCATAGAGACTGCTAGCCTATATTGATCAAATCGGCCAAGAGACTGCTAGCCTATATTGATCAAATCGGCCAAGAGACTGCTAGCCTATATTTATCAAATCGGCTAAGAGACTGCTAGCTTATATTGATCAAATCGGCCAAGAGACTGCTGGCCTATATTGACCTAATCGGCCAAGAGACTGCTAGCCTATATTGATTTAATCGGCCAAGAGACTGCTAGCCTATATTGCTCAAATCGGCCAAGAGACTGCTGGCCTATATTGACCTAATCGGCCAAGAGACTGCTAGCCTATATTGATCTAATCGGCCAAGAGACTGCTAGCCTATAATGATCTAATCGGCCAAGAGACTGCTAGCCTATATTGATCTAATCCGCCAAGAGACTACTAGCCTATATTGATCTTATCGGCCAAGAGACTGCTAGCCTATATTGATCCAATCGGCCAAGAGACTGCTGGCCTATATTGATCAAATCAGCCAAGAGACAGCTAGCCTATATTGATCAAATCGGCCAAGAGACTGCTAGCCTATATTGATACAAAAGGCCAAGAGACAGCTAGCCCTATATTGATCTTATCAGCCAAGAGACTGCTAGCCTATATTGATCAAATCGGCCAAGAGACTGCTAGCATATATTGATCAAATCGGCCAAGAGACAGCTAGCCTATATTGATCAAATCGGCCAAGAGACTGCTAGCCTATATTGATACAAATGGCCAAGAGACAGCTAGCCCTTTATTGATCTTATCGGCCAAGAGACTGCTAGCCTATATTGATCTAATCGGCCAAGAGACTGCTAGCCTATATAAATCTAATCGGCCAAGAGACTGCTAGCCTATATTGATCAAATCGGCCAAGAGACTGCGAGCCTATATTGATCAAATCGGCCAAGAGACTGCTAGCCTATATTGATCAAATCGGCCAAGAGACTGCTAGCCTATATTGATCTAATCCGCCAAGAGACTGCTAGCCTATATTGATCTTCAAATTCATTCATATTTACCTTAATCTTTTAATGGTTTGAATTTAGAAACATCTTTGTAAATCAGATACTTCAATCATGCGCTCTTAGTTTGAAGTTTGACAGTGTTTTCTGTATCGAGAACATGAATGATCAATACCGAGTGATGAAGTTAACTTTTGAAACACAATGTTTCGTTGAATAATTTTCAACAGATGTAGTCGCTCGAGCAGTTACTGTTACATCATTGAATTTTCTTTTCATTTCCTCATATATATGGCACACAATGTGTATATGCGAGGGGATTTGTATCACTTGTGCAGTGATAAATCTAGGATCTAGGATTATTAGTTTATGAGTCCCTGCTGGAGAAGGCAGCAGCCAACAGCATCGGTGACAAGGTTGGGGTAGGTGAAAGTTTGTTATCGCTATTTCTCGGGAAGTCCCAGAGGGATCTTTCTCAAATTATATATGTAGGTTCCCCTTGTTCCCTTGTTGTGCAGCAGTGCCTGAAATGGATGGTCCCATGCTCGCCAATGGTGGTTAAAGTCTTGCTCGAGCGACCAAAAGTTGTCAAAAGTGAGGTAGTCACTGTCCCAACAAAAATAGTTCGGGCGACTGTTGAAAAATTAATGAATAAAAGAAATTATAGTCCCTTTCACATTAACTGGGGGCCAGTACATTTTTCAGTTGTCATTACTTCGATTTGAATCAAACTGTCCGTGATTTAGAAAATGTGATGATTTTTTTTCAGATTTTCTATATAAAAATACTGCCAGGGTGTCTTCTTTGAGGTGCGAGTTTTGTGTATTTTTCTTTGGGAAATACTAAAGACCTGAATGGAGTGGATCATGTCAGGTTTAACTAGGGTTGAAGAATTAAAATTATAACGTTTTATTCTGTTTTACATATTACAAACATTGTCTTGTTATATGTAATTTAAATGTGCTGAAGCATTGTGTTAAATGCTGTGGAAATATTTTCTTCCCAAAATTATTTGGGCCACCAATATTTTACTAGCCCCCCAAATTTGTTTTGGGCCAGCCAATGCAGGTTCCCCACTATCCTTTATTGTTCATGTTTCCTTTTGAAACTGATCAGTTAAACAAAATGGCCTACCGACAGCCATCTTCGATTCTTGACATTGAAGGTTTGTTAGTACTATTTCTCAGGAATAACTTGAGGGATCTTTCTCAAATTTGTAGGTTCCCCTTGATCCCTCATTGTGCATGTTATATTTTGAGACTGATCATAAAAACAAAATGGCTAAAGGAAGAACTAAACAGATCTTTCTCATATTGCAATGATCAATCCTATTTCTTTCACATTAAGTACTGTACTAGTAAATATGTGAAATGACAAACTCACTTTGAAGGTTATCTTTTATACACAGTGGTATTAAGTTTAGATCAAAAGTTACCTCAAGGTGCATTTACTGTTAACATGACTCGATCAAACAGATTAGAGAAAAGAAGAGAAAAGATCGAACTGACAAAGAACTAATGAAGATGGTACAATGGTGGGCGCCAAGATCCCTCTGGGATCTCTTGTTTATTAACACTTCAAAAACAACTTATAAATATTCTTTGTAGTGAACTGGTCGTTGCGCGATTGGCTGGTTACCGACATTGGCAACCAATCAGGGCAGCGCTTACATTATGAATAGAAACAGTGATTTCCACTTTCAGTGTGGCCTCTGTTATTAGCATACCAACATTTTTTACAAATGACACTACCCTTGAGCAGTTTCTGAAACCAGCGTTATTTGTTTTTCTTTGCTTAAGAAACAACGTATAAACATAAACCTCCTCTGACATTTTAATGTGTCCTGTTCACTTTATCTGCGTACTGGACGCAGGACGCGCATGTAGATTGATCACTGCTTGTGATGCCTGTTTAAAAAGCTATGACACTCTACTGTAAATGACGTGGCTCAGGTAAGATCACTTGTAACCCCTTTTAGTTGATATTTTATATTGTTATGAAATCAAATCCGTCACTTTTACAGAAACTATTTACTGGTAGGCCTCCATTTATCTCGAGCCTTGAACATTAAAGATGAAACAAACACATACATTTTGATACATAAGTGATTTAGTTCTAACACACATCAGACTTGAACCTGGTTGTTGTACCGACTAGTTACTAGTAAGTGGGGTCGATCTTATGTTCACCAGTCAGCTATGTGTGGAAAAGACACTGTTAGGTCGTGATGTCGTTAACATAACGCGTCCAGTTGTGACACCAGATCTCTGGGGCATAACCCATTGATTCTTACATTAATTTACCTGTGATTCTTCTTTGGCAGTCACCAATATAAAGCGAAATTCACATAAAAAAAACAGTAGCGGAATTACTAAAATTTCAACATCTTCTATAACAGGAAAAACGGTGCATCAAGAAAACATGACATTAACCAAAAAGTCACATTAAGTGATGTGATATAATAAGTGGAAAGTACTAATATACATACTTGGCTTCTGGCTACTGAATTTAAGGGTTTCAAATATGTAAATGACCTTGACTATCTAAAAGTCAAGTAGCTAGTATATAGTTGAGCCTGTATTAAAAACTTCCTTGCTGTAAAATTAACTTTAATACTTTTGATTATAACTAACTATGAGATCACAGAGATCAAATATGCTAAAACAGGTGATCAATACAGGCCTTGTTGGCCTCTTATTAGATTATTCAGTGATATTTCATAGGCCTTGACGTTGACCAACTTAAGTAGTTAATATGGTCTTTAATTTTCAGTAAGTGATTTTAGCTACTGAGATAATTAAGATCTGTAAATTAAGTGTCATTCTGTTGTATTTCCACAGAGAGTGACAATGTGAGTGTGACCAGTTCAGCCAGCGGTCAGTACTACAGTGGACACAACCCTAAGGAGACCCGCGGCAGTGTGACCAGCAGTAACTACCATGGTGGTCAGCTCAGCGCTACGGAAAGTAGCCGTGGCGACGACCTCCACGAGGATACAGACAGCGAGAGTGTTGGAGGTAGGTCTATACCAATGCTTGAGGGGGGATAGAGGAGGCCATATATGAACAACCCTTCATCAACTGATTAAGTAAAATCTTACACGTGATTATCATTAAAGAGTTCAAAACCAGGGAGGTTTTACCTGTGTCAGGTCAAGGTTGTTGGTATAAAGGTCATATTCCAAGACAGTTTGGACCAGATCTTTTGAGCTAAAAATAGAGACGAATGGGAAGACCGATGGGAAATAAGACATCCTTAGGAGTTTGTAAACGATTTGGACACGAAGGAATAAATAAGACAGGTGGGCTTAACTAATGGTAATCAGGAGAACTTGTAAGGCTGGTTTGCCTTATTGTAGGGCAAGGTTATATAAGGGTAAGTGTGTAGTGGGTTAGGCAGTAGAAACAGAACTTTTGGATCAGGATTGTTTTTCAGATTAGTGACAAATCAAATTACTTGTATGGACTCGACTGCCTCACTAAATTATTTCTACAGGGATGACATATGTGATTGAATTTGTCCTTAAATATGTACTTATCTTACGCTGGACTTAGTAAAGGATCACTACTAATACACCTAATGTAGTTACAGCATTCCATATAAACAACTCCATAATCCAGAAACCTGTGTTTACCAGACCTTTGGTTGTACTGCATGAAGATAACCTGTGTTTACCAGACCTTTGGTTGTACTGCTACCAGCTAAAGCAAGGACCCACACAACAGCTAAAGGAAGGGCCCACACACCAGCTAAAGGAAGGGCCCACACACGGCCCACACAACAGCTAAAGCAAGGGCCCACACACCCGCGGTGAACAAGGGCCCACACACCCGCAGTGAACAAAGGCCCTCACACCAGCTAAAGCAAGGGCCCACACACCAGCTAAAGCAAGGGCCCACACACCCGCAGTGAACAAGGGCCCACACACCCATGGTGAACAAGGGCCCACACACCAGCTAAAGCAAGGGTCATGTGACAGCGGTGACCAAGTGCCCACACAACAGCTAAAGCAAGGGTCACCTGACCACAGTGAACAAGGGCCCACACAACAGCTAAAGCAAGGGTCACTTGACCACGATGAACAAGGGCCCACACAACAGCTAAAGAAAGGGGCACGTGACCACGGTGAACAAGGGCCCAAACACAACAGCTAAAGCAAGGGTCACATGACCACGGTGAACAAGGGCCCAAACACAACAGCTAAAGCAAGGGGTCACATGACCGCGGTGAACAAGGGCCCAAACACAACAGCTAAAGCAAGGGTCACATGACCACGGTGAACAAGGGCCCACACAACAGCTAAAGCAAGGGTCACGTGACCTCGGTGAACAAGGGCCCAAACACAACAGCTTAAGCAAGGGCCACGGTGAACAAGGGCCCAAACACCAGCTAAAGCAAGGGTCACGTGACCACGGTGAACAAGGGCCCACACAGGAGGTAAAGAAAGGGTCACATGACCACGGTGAACAAGGGCCCACACAACAGCTAAAGCAAGGGTCACGTGACCACGGTGAACAAGGGCCCAAACACAACAGCTAAAGCAAGGGCCACGGTGAACAAGGGCCCACACACCAGCTAAAGCAAGGGTCACGTGACCACGGTGAACAAGGGCCCACACAGGAGATAAAGAAAGGGTCACATGACCACGGTGAACAAGGGCGCACACAACAGCTAAAGCAAGGGTCACATGACCACGGTGAACAAGGGCCCAAACACAACAGCTAAAGCAAGGGTCACGTGACCGCGGTGCCCAGTGTACCCAGTGTACCCAGTGTACCCAGTGTTACCAGTGTATACGTGACTAGGGTGCCCTGTGTTACCAGTGTATATGTGACAAGGGTGCCCTGTGTATACGTGACTAGTGTATCCAGTGTATATGTGACTAGGGTGCCCTGTGTACCCAGTGTATACGTGACTAGTATACCCAGTGTTACCAGTATACCCTTGACTAGGGTGCCCTGTGTTACCAGTGTATACGTGACCACGGTAACACTGGCCCCAGTGTAAACGTGACTAGGGTGCCCAGTGTACCCAGTGTATACATGATAAGGGTGCCCTGTGTACCCAGTGTATACGTGATACGGGTGCCCTGTGTACCCAGTATATACGTGATAAGGGTGCCCTGTGTACCCAGTGTATATGTGATAAGGGTACCCAGTGTACCCAGTGTATACGTGACCACGGTGCCCAGTGTACCCAGTGTATAGGTGACCATGGTGCCCAGTGTACCCAGTGTATACGTGACCACGGTGCCCAGTGTACCCAGTGTATACGTGACCATGGTGTACCAAGTGTTTCCAGTGTATACGTGACCATGGTGCCCAGTGTACCCAGGGTATAGGTGACCACGGTGCCCAGTGTACCCCGTGTATATGTGACCACTGTGCCCAGTGTACCCAGTGTACACGTGACCAAGGTGTACCAAGTGTACCCAGTGTATACGTGAGCACGGTGCCCAGTGTACCCAGGGCCTAGGTGCCCACTGTGCCCAGTGTATTCGTGACCACGGTGCCCAGTGTTCCCAGTGTATATGTGATAAGGGTACCCATTGTACCCAGTGTATACGTCACCACGGTGCCCAGTGTACCCATTGTATAGGTGACCATGGTGCCCAGTTTACCCAGTGTATACGTGACCAAGGTGCCCAGTGTATAAGGGACCACGGTGCCCATTGTACCCAGTGTATAGGTGACCATGGTGCCCATTGTACCCAGTGTATAGGTGCCCACGGTGCCCAGTGTACCCATTGTATAGGTGACCATGGTGCCCAGTTTACCCAGTGTATACGTGACCATGGTGTACCAAGGGTTACCAGTGTATACGTGACCACTGTGCCCAGTGTACCCAGTGTATACGTGACCATGGTGTACCAAGTGTTACCAGTGTATACGTGACCATGGTGCCCAGTGTATACGTGACCAAGGTGCCCAGTGTATAAGTGACCACGGTGCCCATTGTACCAAGTGTATAGGTGACCACGGTGTACTAAGTGTTACCAGTGTATACGTGACCATGGTGCCCAGTGTACCAAGTGTATACATGACCAAGGTGTACTAAGTGTTACCAGTGTATACGTGACCACGGTGCCCAGTGTATACGTGACCACTGTGCAGTGTACCCAGTGTATACATGACCACGGTGCCCAGTGTACTCAGTGTATACGTGACCATGGTGCACAGTGTACCAAGTGTATACATGACCAAGGTGTACTAAGTGTTACCCGTGTATACGTGACCACGGTGCCCTGTGTACCCAGTGTATACGTGACCATTGTGCCCAGTGTATACGTGCCCATGGTGCCCAGTGTATACGTGACCAAGGTGCCCAGTGTATAAGTGACCACGGTGCCCATTGTACCAAGTGTATAGGTGACCACGGTGTACTAAGTGTTACCAGGGTAAACGTGACCATGGTGCCCAGTGTCCCAAGTGTATACGTGACCAAGGTCTACCAAGTGTTACCAGTGTTTACGTAACCACAGTGCCCAGTATATACACTGTACGTGACCACGGCGCCCAGTGTACCCAGTGTATAGGTGACCACGGTGTACTAAGTGTTACCAGGGTAAACGTGACCATGGTGCCCAGTGTCCCAAGTGTATACATGACCAAGGTGTACTAAGAGTTACCAGTGTATACGTGACCTCGGTGCCCAGTGTATACGTGATAACGGTGCCCAGTGTACCCAGTGCCTACGTGACCAAGGTGTACCAGGTGTTACCAGTGTTTACGTGACCACGGTGCCTAGTGTATACATGACCACGGTGCCCAGTGTATAGGTGACCACTGTGCCCAGTGTACCCAGTGTATATGTGACCACAGTGCCCAGTGTATACGTGACCAAGGTGTACCAAGTGTTACCAGTGTTTACGTGACCACAGTGCCCAGTATATACACTGTACGTGACCACGGTGCCCAGTGTACCCAGTGTATACGTGACCATGGTGCCCAGTATATACGTGACCACTGTGCCCAGTGTATACGTGACCACGGTGCCCAGTGTACCCAGTGTATACGTGACCACGGTTCCCAGTGTACCCAGTGTATACGTGACCATGGTGCCCAGTGTATACGTGACCATGGTGCCCAGTGTATACGTGACCACGGTGCCCAGTGTATACGTGACCACGGTGCCCAGTGTACCCAGTGTATACGTGACCACGGTGCCCAGTGTACCAAGTGTATACGTGACCAAGGTGTACCAAGTGTTACCAGTGTTTACGTGACCACGGTGCCTAGTGTATACATGACCACGGTGCCCAGTGTATACGTGACCACGGTGCCCAGTGTACCCAGTGTATACGTGACCACTGTGCCCAGTGTATCCAGTGTATACGTGACCACTGTGCCCAGTGTACCCAGTATATACGTGACCACTGTGCCCAGTGTACCCAGTGTATACATCTGTTTATAGTTCGAAGGGCAAGTGAGCTTATATGCCAAGGCGCAGCGTCCGTCGTCCGTCCTTCCGTCAACTTTTCCTTTAAAGCGCTACTTGTCCTATATCTTTACTTCATACCAATTATTTTAAACATATTCAGGTGAGCGATACAGGCCTTCTGGGCCTCTTGTTTGAGATGGTTCAGTGCTCTCCTCAGGATTTTAGGAAATATAAGATCCAGGTCCCTATTTCGCACACACTCACCTATAGCAGTGAACAGCAGCCTAACCATGTCACAGCAGACTAAGGAGGATTTAGTTAGGCCACAAAGGACACACTCTGTTGTTAATGAATACAGATGCTGTCATGTTTAGTTGACAAAACTCACAACTACAACACTGCTGCTGAGGTTGACAGCACCTGTACTGTGGAGTGTACCAATCTCAACCTGTTCTGCTTTTAGCTGTTGGTCTAATGTATATTCACATTTAATCTTATATAGACACAAGTGTGATAATATGTAATGCTGTTTAGTGTTAAAACTTGGTAGATGTGCAATTTTACTTCAGACTTTAAAATTCTCTGCTTATATATTTATATACTACTAACAGTTTTACTATATGTAGAATGTACATGG